GTTGATTTCAGATGGATTCAGGGGCAATAACAGTGTGCGAGCAACAAAACAATGCCTCAGTTTTGTATAGAACATTTTACAGAGTTTATTTCCTGTTGCAGTGTTTACTAATGTGAGCGGCTGACAGGACATGAACCTGCACCCAAGTTTAGCAAGCTGTCAGTTTTATACAGATAATACATCTTGATCTGTTAAGCCCTAGTACTTGGATGTTAGGACTTTAGGAGACATAGTGTCCCCCGTGTATTGTCATCATTCTTTTCACTGTCATTTTTTTGCCATTTCTGAAGAGAGATTCAAATAGACGAAGCCATGACCAAGAGACAGTGGACATCCTTTGACAGTAATGTACAATTTGTGAAATAAATGTAATGTTTACAAAAAGATATATGCTTTGATTTGAAATAAGGCCTGTTTAGATGTGATGATATACTGTAGGCTTTATATCATCCATTAACAGATGACGATTATTTTGGTGATTTTTTAATTGAAATCACAGAATCTCACAGATGTGGAACATAAAACACAATATTTTCAGCAAACACAAATGCATAGATACCTTTCATGTCATAAATTCAATAAAAATGAAAAAATAAAAACATCATTGTGACATGTGCAAAAGTGTGGGCACCCTACATTGTCAGTGCTTCAGCACTAACACCCCCTCAGGCAGATATCACAGCTTGCAGCACTTTTTGTTGTCAGCTTAAAGTCTATGAATTCTTGTGTTTGGGATTTTTTTCCCATTCTTCCTTGCAAAAAGGCTTCCAGTTCTGCATTATTCTTGGGTCATCTTTCATGTGCTGCTCTTTTGAGACATGCCCACAGATTTTCAATTGTGTTTCAGTCAGGGGACTGTGAGGGTCATCTTGTGTATCTTTAGGATCATTATCCTGTTGTAGAAGTCATCCTCTTTTCTGCTTCAGATGTTTTACAGATGGTGTGATGTTTCCTTCCAGACTTTGCTGGTATTTAGCGGAATCTGTTCTTCCCTCCACCTGTGCCATGTTTCCTTTGCCACTGGCTGCAACACAACACAATGAGCCTCCTTTTTTCCTCCTGCTGATTGTGAAAATAATTATATTTTATCTTTGTTTGTTGTTGCATACTTCTGATGTTGGATTTTATGAAGTGGATGCAGGTAAGGTTTTCTTCGAACGAGTCTTCCATGAAGGTTTTGTTTGTGCGCATCGCTGCACAGTGAAAAGGCGTACCACCACTGCCGAGTCTGCTAAATCTTTCTGCAGTTTTGTTGGATTCACATGGTGGTTTTCTACAACACTGTATCTATGATTAACACTGAAAAGTGCATTTGTTATTGTAATTAGAGACACTGCTGTGAACTAGAATGTATGAATGTACACATGAAGATTTTGTGTATTGTCTATATCTGCATATTTCTGTGTTTTACTGGCTGTGGAAACAAATCTCCCTCTGGGACAATAAATCTAAATCTAATCTAATTTGGAGGATTTGTTGTTTAATGAGGGATTTATGCACTGCAACCCTACTGTTATAGTCTATGTAGTTGTCAGCAGACTGTTGTTGCTGACACAAACTGATCATGTCCTTCATCGACATTCATAGTCACATAAGAAAAAGTTTATCTTGTTTTTCCTTACATGCTGCACTAATGTCAGTCACTGAATGTCTTTTCTATCGTATTATTCTTACTGGAATACCATACCCAGTCTTAACGGAAGCCTTTGCCATCCATATCCCCAGAATGAATCCCTTTCTTTTTCATGTCAACTGGGCCTGCTTTGCATTTTTATGTCACAGAGCCTAATAGATGTTTAATTGCTCTTTATATCATTCAGTACACCTGTATGGAATCATCTGCATCAGTTACATTTATCTTCTATTTTAGACTTTAGTTTTTTTTCTCTCTAATTAAATGAGATGCATAAAACATAACAATGAAGCCTTGATGCTTTGAGTAGACTAGTAGCAAAGGGGATAAAATAACATTATTTTACAACCTTGATCTGTACTTTCTATTTAACTGCCCCTTCACCAAGATTGCAAACTGTGTTAGACAATTGGTTCAGTATTTCCTGGTGGTTTTAAATGCAAATAGTGGTAAAAAATATATATATACATAGCCTTCAAACAGTCTAGAATTGAGATGTGTGATTTTAAAATTATACATTATTTTCTAAATTAAATAAATAAATACTATTGTTATGATCGTTGCTAACTGAGACTGCAACAGGGCCCAGATGTGTGTGGCATACACTCCTGAGTGAAACTACCTGTTGATTCCTAAAATTGTTTTATTTTTTCTGAATGATTCCAGGTGTCAGATAAGACCAACAGTTCTTCCAAAGTAAACAGTTTATTCAGTGTATGGATTGTCTTTTTTGGGAGATAAAAATGCCAGGCAACAAAAAAAGGCAATAATGGGCAAAAGTCACTGTAAACTGAATAGGGCCTATGCAGATTATAGCAATACAGGAAATGTTGATTCACATGGACATCACACTCCATACCACTTTTTTTTTTGTCTTTTGAAGAGACATTTCCTAGAGCTGAGCTGCAACAGGAAGTCATTTGGATGTAGACAAGTGACACTAAGCTCATCTCAAAGGTGGTCTTAAATTACCAATCATGCAAAAATGCATGATGTACATTCAACCAGTGTTATATGAGTTACTGAAAATCAGTAATTACTTATAGTTGCTAGTTACCTCTCTCAAAAGTAATTGAATTATTTGACAAATTACAGCATTTAAAAGTAATTACTTAACTAAGGAAAGCAACTTTTGCTTTACTTTGAAGGTGAATAATCATCAGCATAGCAGTGGAGCTCAAAATCATCCTGGCAGATGAGGTTGCCAAACAGAAGCATATAGTGAGACAAATCTTATAAAGCTATGAAGTAATTACAGCCACTAGTTGAAAGGCAATACAAATTATGTTCACAGTGTAGCCAATGGAATACAATTCAATTCAATTTTATTTGTATAGCGCCAATTCATAACAGAAGTTATCTCAGGACACTTTTCAAACAGAGCAGGTCTAGACCAAACTCCTTATAACATTTACAGAGACCCAACAGTACCACCATGAGCAAGCACTTGGCAACGGGGGCAAGGAAAAACTGCCTTATAATACACGGGCCATGTCTGCTTCATTTGTGCTCTATTTGGACCCTTCCATGCTTAATCTTTGTCACATAACAGCTGGATGCTGTTAACAGTGTCAAGCTTAAAATTAGTTGCAATCAGAGCATTTGACAGAATGCACCTTTTTTGTGTTCTTAATGCCTTTTAGTGCCTCAATTTGTGCTTAAATTGAGCAGATTAAATCTCTGATTTACTGCACCCTCACTTTTTACTTTGTGCCCTAATTCCCCACCAGAGGGGCATCTAAGTGACCCTTGTGTCCGTCCTGTCAAGTCAAATGCTCCTAAAAGCCCCCCTGGTCAGCCTAGTTGTCCTACAAGTGCGCCCCCCGGTCACCCCTACGCCCTCTCCGGTCATCTTAAGTGCCCTCAACACCACTCTTGCTTCACTCAAGCGTTGCTCTTGTGTGACATTAGGGCAAAATGACATTTAATCTGCACACTGGAGAGGTGGCCCCCTGTTTGTTTTTACCATTGCCTCATAGAACTCAGTAACTAGAGACTGAGATTGTCTGTGCATGCAATATTTAATGATACAGCTTATTTGTTTTCCATCCTTGTTTACCTCTCCAAGCCTCATCAGTC